TATTTAATTTGAAATTTGTTCATTAAAATTAATTGAAAAAATAGATTAATGATGTTAGATTCAAAGGCCAAACCAGATTTTCATTCCCGCCAACTAACCTCCCCGGATTACCCACCACCGTCGTCCTCGCCAAAAGCTCCTTAAGCACCACCGACCCACCTTCGCCCCTTCCCCAATTCTCAAGTTCCCCAGAATCTGCGTTCCTGCACCAATCAGAACACCAACACCGATTTTTGGAAGCCTGTCTCCGGAATCCTTCCCAGCCCCTCCAAGCGCACGCTGTGAACGATGGACACATCGCCACCAACCACGGCTATTTCTCTAATCACCACGCCAGTAGTGTGGTCAAGAAAAACTCCCTCTCCTGACCTAGCCCGTAGGTGAACATCCACTGCGAAGACCTCGGCCGGCTCTGGATCAGCATCGCCGCAGCTCGCCGACCAGACATCCAAAGAAGGTGTGCGACACGGTGGGCCTAGCAGTCGAGAAACCCCTTGTAGTAGAATAAGCAGTGTGTGATTTACTCAGCAAGAAGGGTCGTGCTCGCAAGCCGCGCGGAGATCGAGAATCCGATCGCAGTGAAATGGAAAAGAGGTGACGGAAATTGGAGGCGGGGAGGAGATCGGGAATGCAGAGTTTAGTCTCGAGGAGATTAGAGTGGACGGATTCGAGGAATTTGTGACGGAAAATGAGATCCGAGTCGTACCTGGCGAGGATCGGTTCTTCGGAGGGGTCTGAGAGGGCTTCTGCTTGAATCTGGAGCGAAATGTCGTCAGGATCTTCTTCGGTGATGTGAGGGGATAGGCAGATCTGGGGCAATTGGAGAAGGACTCAGCATTCGGCCACGGCAAAGCGGAGAGATCGCTGTTCGGAGAAATTTTGGAAAGTATCGATGCAGGTGGCAATAGAATTGGATGGATCGGAGGATTTTGGGCTGAGAGGATCGGAGATCGCCGACGAGGAGAGAGTGGAGGCGGTCATTGGTTGAGGATGCAATGAAGTTTGCGAGGTGGTAGAATGGTGGGAGAGGTGGCAAGGTGAGGTTATTTATAGGGTCGCGGTTTTGGGATATATAAAGGCGATAGTATAGGACAGTCGGTCGGTAACCAAAGGGAAACTGTTTCGTGTTGGGCGGGAAAATTAAATTTAGATTTAAAATAAAAATTGTAGTCCCCGATAGCTAAAAGAAGACTTATTTTT